TCCCCCTGCATCTTTTGGTTTCTAAAGATCCAACCAGATCACACCATTTGATGCTTGAAATTGTCCAGGGTGCCCCGGTGCCTTGCCAGGTGTCCCCTGGACCCTAAGGCTGCTCATCACCTCTTTGAGGAATTTGTCAGGGTATTTTAGAGATTAGTCCCCTGGAAACTGGACACCTAGACTCCTCGTGAATCCAACACAGCCTCTGCATGTATCTCAGTTCCGTTAGCAAACAATGAATAAATACATGTTTGAAGGTATGATGAGTAAATGAATGAGTAAGTAAGATTACGAAACTCCAGGTGAGATATGTGAGATGAGACAGAGGTGGTGACTCAGTTGAGTGACACCGTTAGGGACAGATGAGGTATTCAGGGAGGAATTGGCTAAGGAGAATCAGAGAGGTTCAGGGTCTAGAGGGCAGGAGCAATGTGTCGGTGGCCCCATGTTGGGGGGCTATAGCCCTATGCTATGGCAATTGGAAACAGTTGTCAGGCAGGAAGGGTGTCATGGGGTGTGGAAATGGTAGGATCCAAGGCTTGAGGGAGGGAAGCAAGAGCCTCAAGGATCTCTACCTGAAGGTCCCCAGAGTCTCACCCATCCCCAAGGTGGCAGAACAGCTCATCAACCCTTTTGGAGAGGATGATGATGATTTTGAGACCAACTGGATCATCGACAGGCACTTGCAGGTATGAAGGGAGCTCATACCACGGACCCAAGGAGGGGGACGCTGCAATTCTGCAGGGAGGCGTCACAGGGAATTATCCTCCCTTGCCACGCCCCACTTTGCGGCCAGCCATTCACTTACAAGAGTCTCACCACAACTTTTGAGGTTTGCAGGGCATCAACCTCTCCATTCACAGGTTGGGAAACTGAGGTCCAGAGAGGGAAGTAACTTCCCCAAGTCATCAGGCAAGTTCATGGTCATGTCTGGCTGACCTTTCCATTGGACTTCCTCCTCTGTTCCTGGTGGCCAGGTGTCCCTGTTGTCTGTGGATGAGATGCACCAAGATCTGCCCCCCCTAGAGCGGGACATGTACTGGAATGAGATAGAACCCCACCCACCCTACACAGCTGCTGCTTCCCAGTTCCGCAAACCCTCCTTTTGGGGCTCCACATTCAACATCAGGTGGGCAGTGCCAGGGAACTGGGTGGGAAGCATCTCAAGTGCAAGGGCCTAAGAACTTAGAACAGCTCTTGTGAGTACCCGTTGTGTGCCTGACAGGGCTAGGCAGGATACTGCATTCTGAAGAGATATTAACTATTTTTTTCTTCCCAATAATCCTGCTTTGTTAGTTTTCAGATAATCAAGTACAAGTTCAGAGGGGTTAAGTAGGTTGCCCAGTCCACAGTCACATAACTAGCCAAGGGCATGTCTATGCCAGTTGTTAGGTTCCACTCTGCGCTTCACTCTCAGCTGAGCTATGAAAGGACTCCTTTAGGCTCTCAGGAGCCTCTGGTCTTAGGTACTCTCCTTCCTTGTCGGGGCTGGAAGCTGACAGGAAAGGGATTTATTCAAGAGCAGCCGGTGGTCAGTGATGCAGTGGGGATGTTAGAACTTGCTTCCTTGCTCTAACCAGATCGGTTTTTTGTTTTTTGTTTTCAACAAATTAAGGTGTTTGGGTGGAGAGTGGAGTGGGGTTCTCTGGGATAGGGGAGGGGCAGCAAGCATGTCCAGGCAGAAGGCAAGGCCATAACAGGTACTTCCTGAGTAGGTTCTCCTACGAGTAAAATCCTCAGGCCGCCCACAGCAACCAAAGCTTCCCCTGTACAGTCTCATTTCCCCAATGCTCTGAATCCCTCCTGGCTGCTGTGGGCTGGAGGGCCATTTCAGAAAGTCCTCTGCCCCTGGGTGACAGAGACGGCTTTGGAGAGTGTTTGGCTCATGTTGGGATCCACATTAAGGCCATTTTCCGCAGTATCCAGCACTGTTCTCCTATTGTTCTTTTAAGAACTAAATGGCCTATTAGGCTGCAGTTAGGATGGAGTCCATCATTAGTGTGAAGAAGGGTGGAAAAGCAGTCAAATGAAAGCTGGTGACTTGTCTTGCTTAGGAAGCTTTCTGGAGGATGAACTTGAGCCCTACATTTTCTGCGTCCCTGCATTTGAAGGCCAGGGTGGGGGAAGGTATAAAACAGAAAAATAACAAGGAATACTCACTTAGCGAAGGGAGCTCAAACCCCAAACCAAAACTCTGGGTACCTGCCTGGGAAAACAGAGGTCACCTTTGACTGCCTGAAGCTAAGCCTTGGGGCGTGGGAGAAGTTGGTGGCAGGAAAGGCAAGCCCCAGTCTGGCCTAGGTAAGCTCTCTGTTGCAAAGGAAAGGTCTTGGCCCCCCAAGAAGCTGCTGGAAGCCAGACTTGTCTCTTGGTGGGTGATGTTCTGCAGTTGAGAACATCTCTCCCTGGCCTTGCCTGTAGTCCCTCCTAGGCCTCACCCACCTTCCTACTGAGGACCAGGTGTTCTGATGGTGTAGGGGAAGAGGCTTTAATGGGAGGAGCCAGTGGTGAAGAGGAAGTCCCTAGATGCCAGGCTGGAGGAGGGGGCTGGATGGTAACAGTAGGCGAGAGGGAGCGGAAGAACTTGAGACTCACTGGGAGGTATAGGAGAGATTAGGACGGAGGCGAGAGCTGTGGTACCATGAAGGAAGGCTGGGACAGAGAGAGGGACAAAGGGGGGTGAAGGAAAGGTCAGGCCTGGGTCCTTTATCCCCCCTACTCAGCCCTCAGTGTCTTTTTCCAGTCTGCAGAAAGAAGAGATGGAGTTTCAGCCAAATCAGGAGGACGAGGAGGACACTCACCATGGTATCTTTGGTCATGATCATCAAGGTGTCATTAGTCACCTCCTAGGGCTGCCATCCCATGACCACCACCCTCCCAGGACAAACTCCAAGACCAAACTACTATGGTCCAAGAGGAAGCCCTACCTCCACGAGAGTCAACCCAGTAAAGACAAACAGAGCCCTGGGGACCAGGAAGACACCAAGGCCTGGAAGCTCAAGGTGGTAGATGTCTTCAGGGATGCTCCACTCTACGAGAGGCCAGGCTACCACAGTGCCCCACAGACGCCCCTCAGTCGCACGCCCATGGTCTTCCCAGAACTGTCAGCCCCCTCTGGGCTACATGGCATCACAGGCACTGATACAAGTGACCAAAGCCCAAAGCCTGTGACTTCTGGGGCCAAGAACCATTTTGAATTGCTCCCAGATGATGGGGCCTTGAGGGAGCACCCAGAAGTACACCATGCAAGGAAGAAAACTGTCGAGTTTAACCTGAAGGACATACCAAAGATCCCCGAAGGTCATCTCAAAAGACATTCGCAACGCTTGACAAGCAATATACACACAATCCTCGAAGATCCCGTAGATCCTGCAGCTCCCCTTCACACCTTGGAAAACAGGTCTGTTCACCCAAACCAGGGTCATGGCATCCCTCTTTCCTACCCCAGCTTCCCTTACTTGAGCAGCTTCCCATGGTTTCATTACTGTCAGAATAGGAGGGATCTATGCCCTGACTGGCTGGGAGTATGCACTGGAACCCCGAAGTGTTGTGGGCGGGTGCTTATACTCAGTTCATGCAGGAGCTTGACGTCACCAGAAGACTTCTTGGGGATTCACGGAAAGAATATGAAGTTACACTTACAAGGATGCTGGGGGGGGGGGCAGGTTGGCAGGTTAGGCCTAGATGGGCTAGGGGTGGCTGATAGAGAATACCATGAGGCTGAACCTGGGCTCTCCACTATCACCAAGAACTTGACTCACTGCCCAGTTAGGAGGTGGCAAATGAGCACTTTCCTAGAGGCCTTCATGCTAGGACCCAATCACTGGAAGAAAGGGTGCTGCCTTATCCCAAGAACTGGCAGATGGTAGCTTATTGGGGGAATAGAGGAGACAGGATCCAAGGTCCACGAGTTGCAACTTCTTACTGCTTTGGGGACCTCACTGAACTATGTCCCAGTTTCAAGCTTCCTTAAGCTTCAAGTTGTTACAAACCCTCGATAATTCCCTTTATTCTAGATTTTTTGAATATTTTTGCCCAATTAGAAACATCCTACTCCAGCCTCAATCATACACAGAGGAAGTCTAACTTCCCATTTCTATATTCTCAAGCAGTTTCTTTCATGGTTAGAACACCCAGCTTTATTGAAAACCCCCCAAAAAAGGGGGGTGGAATAGGGCAACAATTTTGGCCTTGCTTCTAGGAGTATACAGGAGATTTTTATAAACCATCTGTGGCTTAAAATTTAGTTTTACGTACCTTCCATACTCATATCAACTTTCTCAATTTTTCAATAGGGATGAACTATATTCCTAGCTTATCTCCCAAGGGGGATACCTCACCAGCCTGGTCTTCACCTGCCTGTAATCAGCGGGACACTGATCCAGTCATGCCCACACAGTTGTCCACATTGGAGTATGTTCCCATGACAGCCGGATTTAAATGGCTAGCTTAATGGACAAGTAACTAGTCCAGGACTACTTCAGCCTTTAATACATTAAAAAACTGTATAAACTAGGGGCTGGGGATGTGGCTCAAGTGGTAGTGTGCTTGCCTGGCATGCATGTGGCCGGGTTCAATCCTCAGCACAAAGATGTTGTGACTGCCGAAAACTAAAAAATGAATACTAAAAAATTCTCTTAAAAAACTGTTTAAACTAGAATGAACCACTGGAAACATGTATTTCAGAACTATTTGAATTCAACACACCCACACCTTGTTATCTTTCCTCAACTAAGGAGTCTAATAAATACAAGAATTCTTCTAAGTATTTGTTTAGTGTGATTGACACTAAGGGAATCTGAAAGATTGCCAAGACAGATTTTTGGCCCATGCCACAATTTCAAACACAAGAGCTGGGTACCAAATTTCTTTATTTGAAGGAATGGTACAAATTAAAGATCATAAGTGGATGTTTTGGTACAACTTATAGAAAAGGTATAGGTAACCCCAATATGCATGCACTGCCTTGGTGACCAGGGAAGTCACTTGCACGGCTATGGGAAAGTCAGGCTGAGGTTTAGCTCTCGTTATCACTGTCTCCCAGGGTGTGCTTGTCAAAGAGATACTCTGCCATGCCCGATTCTGGGGCTCCCATCTTGCGCAAGTTAGTTACATGGTCACCCAATTCTTTGATGGATTTCACCTGCTCATTCAGGTAATGAGTCTCAATGAAGTCACACAACTAGAAAAAGAATCGGAAATTACTGGTTAGTTTTCCCAGCCAATGGTCAGTGATTTCTTCCACTTATCCCCTGGGTTTCCAATACTCACGTGGGGGTCATTTTTGTCAGTGGCCAGTTTGTGCAGTTCCAGAAGTGACTGGTTCACACTTTTCTCCAAGTGCAAAGCACATTCCATTGCATTGAGCCCACTCTCCCAGTCATCACGGTCTGGTTTCTGAATAAGAGGAGGTTAGGTCAATTCATCTGTAGTCTCTACCAATCAGCCCCCAAACCAGCAAACTCCTAACACCTAACCATCCTGCTTGGGTGCCTTGACAACAACTTCTACTTTAACATCCTAACCCACTATTTTCCTACTTTAGTTGAAATGGCAGATCTAAAAAGGCACAAAAAACCCAAAGCCCATTATGTCATCTTTTTTTAAGTTAAGGGCAACTGATAGTCTGTAGGACACCCCTAAGACCTTTTGTTCACCTTGATATCCTGAAGGAAGATTCGGCCACCTCGTTGGTTCTGCAGCTTCATTAGTTTCTCGGCATGTTCCCTCTCCTCCTGAGATTGGTGCAGAAAATATTTGGCAAAGTTCTTCAAAGCCACATCATCACGGTCAAAGTAGTAAGACTGAAAGTGGAATGTGAACACATATGTTAAGGATACCCACAAGAAAGAAACTGTACCAGTAGGTAGAAAAGGTTGCTGCTACCAAAGCCTCTTTCTCAAAGCACAGCAAGAAGAGGCCAGTGCCTTAGGAGACTAGGGGCAGAAGTGTTCCTGGGTTAACTCAACAGTAATTAATTTGTATTCTAAAACAGAAAATTGAAACTTGATCCTTGTAAGTTTATTACTTCAAGGTTCCTTTAGAGTATCATAGGAACTGACTGCAGCAGAATGTCTTCAGGATCTGTATTAGTGTAGAGGAAATTTCTTAAGCCAGAGCCAAATACGATTAAAGTTAGAGTGTGCTGGAGTATTGACTGTGTACTTTCAGCTCATTTTCCTGTTCCTTCCTGATTACATGTTAAAACAACCTCTAGAGCTTGCCAGTTGTGCAGTACATTGCTGACTTATAAAATTAAAGCATTGTGCCACATGACAACTGAGGACAATATATACCTATAACTATTATTACCAGCAGAAATCAAAAATTTGATTTCCAGTCTTAAGACACTAACTCCTACCACTCAGCCTGAAGTAAGGAGCAAACCAATTCCACTGTGGGAACAACTTCCTTGCTCAGTAACTGTTGGTGGACTTTATCCAGGAACTACAGGTTCAATTAGTGGGCCACAACTCCAGGACTCTCTCGCACAAGGATAAAGAAGAAAGCACCAAGGCTCAAGGTCGGGTGACACTTCCATGACTGTAGAAGGGGAGATTTTTAGCGATAATGCTTCAACACAAGTGGGTCTTCGAGATAAGTAGAACAGAGAGGTGGAGACCGCTGTTCCGATAGGGGCCGGGGTAAACCCACAAGAGATAAGCAACTTTGTATCAACCCCAAGGCTGCTGCCATTCGACACCCTTACCCAGCAGGAGGCTGGGAGCTGCGCACTCCAGCAAACTGAGTCACGTGATCGGCGGTGGAGGTCGAAAAAGGAATGCAAAAACCCACTTTCCTAACCGCTGGGCCGATCGTACCGGCTGCCAGTCTCTAAGAGGGGATTGCAGAGGCGGACCTTGTCGCGGAGCGAGCCCTCCCGGGGACTGCTGGAAAGGCTCAGACTTTCTGCGCCAGCCAAGTCCTGGGAGACCTCGCGCAGCCTCCATTTTCCAGAAGGGCGCACGGAGGCGGGGAAGCCCGC